TGATAAAGCCTACTGGGTTGTGATGAATAATGTTTTGATATGCACCTCGATTTGGTTTGCTAAGATTTTATTGAGAATTTTTGCATCTGAATTCATAAGAGGTATTAGTCTGTAGTTTTGTTGTTGTTGTTGTTGTGTCTTTTCTGGCTTTGGTATCAAGACAATATTTTCTTTGCAGAGTGAGTTGAGGAGGGTCCCTTCCTTCTCAATGTTAAGGAATAATTTCTGCAATACAGGTACAAGTTCTCCTTTGTAGGTTTGGTAGAAGTTAGGTGTGAACCCATTTGGTCTGGGGTTTTATTTGTTGGAATATTTTTTATTGTTGCTTCAATTCTGGTGCTTATTATTGGTCTATTCAGAAGTTCTATTTACTTCTTTTGATTGTATCTTGGGAGGTGGTGTGAATCCCTAAATTTATTCCTTTCATTGACATTTACATCTTTAAGAACATAGAGATTTTTATACTATTTAATGATGATTTTTTTATTCCTGTGGTAGCGGTTATTTCTTTTTTCAACTGCTGGGTTTGGCATAGGTTTGCAATTCCTTTTACAGTTTCTTGACATGATTAATTAGATTTATGTTTTTTGATCTTTCTGTCTTTTGGATGTGGGCATTTAAGACTGAATTTTCCTCTCAGGGTTGCTTTTGCAATATTCCACAGATTTGATCACTTATACGCTCACTATCATTTAGTTCAAAGCATATTTTGATTTCCATCTTTGTCTCTTCCTTGGCCCAAGTATCAAAGGAAAAAAGTCATTTTTATCATAAAGACACTTGCACTCAAATGTTTATAGCAGCACAATTGACAATTGCAAACATGTGGAAGCAACTCGAGTGCCCACTGATACGTGAATGGATTAGTAAAATGTGGTATATGTACCACAGTAGTATATGTGGAATGCTACTCATCCATAAAAAAATGCTGACCTAGTATATTTTATAATAATCTAGTTGGAATTGGAGACCATTCTCCTAAGTGAAGTATGACAAGAATGGAAAAACAAGTGCCACATGTACTTGATAGTAAATTGGAACTAGTTAGTGAGCACTTATGATACCATAGGAACCAGAATGCAATGGAATTCAAGTAAGGAAGAGGAGAAGGAGGGGATGGGTAGATTCACACCTAATGGGTACATCACACACTTTCTGGGTGAATAGGACACTTGTAACTTTGGCTTAAAATATGCTACAACAAACTATGTAAGCAAAATATGTATACCCCCATAATGTTGGAAAATTAAAAAAATTTATGAGATTCCACCTCACACTCATTAGGAAGGCTATCATGAAAACATCAAAAGATAGTAAAAGTTGCTGAGAGTGTGGGAAAAGGGGAACCATTGTATACTTTTGGTGGGATTATATCATAGACTGGTATTCCCCTTATATTCATAGAAAACAGTAAGAAAGTTTCTTAAAATTAAAAATAGAAATCAATGACCAAGGAGTTCCTCTTCTGGATATATAGTCAAAGGAAATAAACTAATAATTTTATAAAAATAAAATAAAATAAATAAAATTACATTTATCAGATAAATTAAATCAGGGACTTGAACAAATATTCATAGATATTTGCAAAGGTATTATTCACAATAACTGAACAGAGGGAAAAACTCAAATATCAAATTGATCAAGCTTCCCTGCCACATGGTTCCCACTCAATGTCTGCATAGGGTCGTACCCAACAAAGAAAAGTCCAATGCAAGCGTCACATGACAGGTCTGTGCTGAATCTGTTTCACACACCCATTAGGGAGGTGCCTCAGTGGCTGACCATGGGCCTGGTCAGTAAACAGAGACATTCCTGGGCCTGCCTATAAACACTGGACATGAGGACCCACAGCTTCCAGCCCAAGCCCATAGCCCTGCACTCTTCCTGTCTGTGAGGACCCTGGAGGTTTTCTGGCCCTCATAGAGGTGAAAAGCTCCACCTTAGTAACCCCTGCATGGTCCCAGAAACTACTGGACACTCAGTTTTTGTCTGTGGACTTTCTTATGCTTTTCTTTTTCAGAAATTTTTCATTTAACTTTTTCTGTATGAGGCCATGGATATAAGTTTCAGAAATCCTATAAGTGCCATTACTTAATGTTAACAGATGGGACCCCTTGAGTGGGTAAATTGATCCTCCCCCTTGACCATGGAGCCAGATGCTAGGATCCTCTTCAGCCCCAATACCTCATGTCTTAACCTGGTCTGTAAATAACCATGAATGGGCCCCTCCCATTTTCCAGTCACCACTGACCCCTACATCCACTATAAGGTGTGGGGGTTATAGCAACAGGCTCCAAAGATCAAGGCTGAGTTGGAAAATTAATGCCCAAAGTCACGCATGATAGTGTTCATGACTGAAATAGACATCAATTCCCCATGCAATGCCCTCATTCGGATATTCAAATAAGTAATTGTTCCCAAAAAGCCTTGGACACAGATTGAGTTGCAGAGGGAGGCACACAGGAACAGTGGGCCCTAAGTACACAGGAGAGACTCAGACTCTTGTCCACAGGGAGGTAGAGCTTGAAGCTGTTGCAAAATGAAACAGGAAGTAGAAGAACACAGTAGAAGATACTACTGGCTACCAACAAAATCTATCTTCCAGGGAAAAGAAAGGGTTATATTTGCTTCTCTTATTCCCTGTTGTCCCCTTTGTGCTTCTGGCCACACAGCAGCTCACTGTGAGCTGCACTGTCACATGCTCATGAGTCTAAGCTGATCTGAGTCACCTGAGGACATGAATCTGTCCCTTACCTGAACCATCTCCAGGGCTGGTGGGACGACTGATTGTGGTGAGGACTCTGCCACATTGTGCTGTTGGACGGGCTGAAGGAGGGAGGAAACCCAGAGAGGGTGTGAAGGGGGAGAGGCCCTACTTACTTTCACCTATGAGGGACTGATACAAGAGCCACAAGGTCCATTTGCTGCTGTGTCCTGGCCCTCAGTGAGATGGGGACAGATGATGCAGTGACTGTGGATCAGGGAGACCCTATTTCTGTCTGAAGTGTCTGCAGAGAGCCTGGTACTCATCCCAGCCCTCACCCTGGGAAAATAAGAACTAGGGTCTTAGGAAGAGGGCAGTTCTCTTTCCTGTGGGGGTTAGGACGTGACAGCCTCATATCAGGAATGCCCCAGCCTACTATTAGCCACACCCTGTGTGTCTGTGTATCCTGAAGGCACCGTGGTCTCCTCCATTTGCACAGCTGGGACAAGTGGTGGGAGATGTCGTGACTCACACCCTCACAGCCCTACTCTGCTTCAGTGAGTTGTGAGGACAGCCAAGGGAAACCCTGGTCTGGTAGTGGGAGAGCCACCCCACAGCCAGACTCTGCTGTATGAGGAGACCTCAGGGGCTCAAGAGGCTCCTGGAGAGGGGGAAGGTTATGCTCAGCCTTCTAGGGACAAATCTCATAGAGAACTCTCTTCTAGGGGTGAGTATGGCCCCCAGTACCTATGTGAAGGCTGGATGGTCAGTCCCCACCTGCACCAGATCCCTTTTCCTCACTGGGGACAAGGGGACACCCTGGGAAGCTGGAGATTGGGAACAGCAGCCCTGGGCTGACTGAGGGGGTATCTGGAGGGTCCTAGGCTGAGAGCTGGATCCGAGGGGTGGGAGGTATCTTGGGATCCAGCCTCTGATTTCCTAACAGGTACCACCCCAAAACCACCATCTGGGCTAAACCACACTTTTTGATAACCTGGGGAAGCCCTGTGACCATCTTGTGTCAGAGGACACTGGATGTCCAGGACTACTGACTGGATAAACAGGAAAGCTTCTGGGACAGACAAAACCCACTGGAGCCTGGGAACAAGGCCAGGTTCAGCATGCAATATATGACACAGCACTATGCAATGGGATATTGCTGTTACTATCGCAGCCCTGCTGGATGGTCAGACCACAGTGACACCCTGGAGCTGGTGGTGACAGGTAAGAAGACACCATAGGTTCCAGCCCCAAGCTTTGCCCTCAGGAAAAGGGTCTGCTCTCAGGAGTGTCTCCCTCTCATAGCCCAGCCCAGGTGTGATGTGGGAGGTGTGAGCCCCATTTAACACAGCTACCTCCTTTATCTGCTTTATGATAATCTGAGCTCTGCAAACTCAGGGTTTCACTCTACTTGGTCAGCGAGGTATTTCCATGGTCAGGAACATTACACAACTCAATAATATTGTGTTGGTGCTTGGGAAGG